TTGATGGTTTGTTTAATTTAGAAGATTGAACATCAAATTGTACGCAGGTGTGTTTTGTTGAGTCGCTCAGCAAGTTTACGTTCAAGAACGGAACTATCAGCGATTTTGTTTTTCAATATTTATCCAGGAGCATCCAATTTAGCAGAGTCAGTTTCAATGTAGCCGGGGGTACTTTAGAACTTTTTGGGTGGGGATGTGCCGCTGGAACCCTGGAACCCTTAGTCTATACCAGAGCTAGTTCACGTGAATTTTGCAACCCTATACGAGACTAAACTCCCCAAATCCCCCCTCTCTTAGAGTAGCTGTTTTCCAGAAACAACTGAGGTCACTAGCACAGTCCAGCCAAAACAAAACCGATTTGATTTTTTTTATATTCTTGATTGACAATTCCCGGTTTCCCTAGTCTAGACTAAAATCATCAGCCAATTGATAAGTTTAAATGGAAAATGACACCCTCTTCTAGACCAAAACTCTCTGATTTATGTACCCCAAGAGATCGACCTTCAACAAGACAGACGGCACGTCTGTTTAGTATATCAAGATAATATGTGCTCCCAACCCCACAATTGTCCAGACGAACAGTTGTCGAACAATAGCAAGACTATAGCATTCTAGTAAAATCCAACTATTAGTCTATTATCAATGCGTGCGTTCTGATTGGTAGAGCTACTACTAGGCTATATGTTATAGCCCACTAGCAGCGAAAAGCGCGGGCAATTTGGTAGGCTCGATTTCTGCCGTCTCCCAGGTCCGGTCTTTGATCCTCCCCGAAGAGAGACTCTTTCGGGGGGATGAGTGCAGGCTCATTCTCCCGAACAGCGGCTGGTAATCAAGCCTAGCTTTTTGGCGGCAAAAAAGGATTAAAGTCTAGCTTTAACGAGCTAAAATGTTTTTATTCTCGATATTTTTGACCAACTAGTTGGCTTTTACTAAAACAATTATTCCTCTTGCCCTCATGGCCTCTGAGTCAATAGCCCATTCGGGCTCGAGGGATAATTGTTAAACAGAGCATTAGACAATTAGATTTGGGAAGAACCTTGCGCCCTCGACGCAGAATACCTAGTCTAGACGAGATCTTATTGCCAATATACTCTACCTGGTCTTTTCAGGAAAGGGTGTGGTCTAGGAGGACCCTAAGATACCCTATCTAAGCGTGTATTACTGATACATGTATCTATCACTAGATCTTCAGCTGATGCGGTCCTCTGATGAGTACCAACAGGCATAATTTTAGTTTTTTCAAGATTAAGTATTCGATAATTTGCGTGAAGCCAGCTAAGGACATTAGTTAAGCCACTATGGTCTTATTTAAATCACCTGCACACCAGCTCTTTTGGAAAATATTGCACTAAGGAGTGAGCTTACCTCAAACAATTGCCTTGCCCATCAATTTTACTTGAGCGGGGCGCTAAGTAAAGGTTAGGTGACGGCCAAATTAGCTTCAAAGTTGCAATATACGGGCAGGTTGCAATTTCCAAATATGTATCCCAATATTTATTGAGGTAAAAGGGGCGATAGGAGAAATGAAACAAAGAACATGGGCGGGACCGGAATACTCGGGGTCGTAAAATGACTTAAGAATAAGACACTCGACTTTTTCCCGTGGAAGGCTGCATAAATAGCTGTGGTTTATTTAAACTCGGTAAATAATCAGGGAGTTTAAAAAGGTACCGCGAGGTAAAAAGGATAAAAGGCCGACTAAAAATGCTTACCTGGTTTACATGATTGCTGTGCGCAAAATCGAAAATAAGAAAGCTAACAGGCTAGACGTTCACGTGAGTTGGATGATCACGTAGAATGTACGGTGCTGTCTCCCTCTGGTACATTATAATAAAAAGGGTCTGCAACACACTGGGGACCCATGGCAAAATGTGTCAGTGCTTGCTCATTTCAACTTATGGAAATGTATGGGAATATAGAGCGGTTGGCAAGTCGCCATTTACACATCTTCCATAATAAACCTTGTTTTCCCTTCAAAATTTCGCATGAGCTTTGGTTTTAATTACAGTCGTCCTCAAGAGAAATTGAGGACAATTCTTACGCAAATATTGGGGGGGTGGGGGACAAGGTTTTATTATGTGCAAATGGCAAATATCCTGAAATACTGTTATGAAAACAAAACACCATTCTTTTCGATTTGTTTTGTTTTTAGAAGGCAGTTGCGACCTGAGTGGTGGTGATCGATTTGAATGCGGATGGCTTGGAATAGATGAAGCCACCTGTCTCAGGAGAGGGTGTTGCTGGAACAGCAGCGAACCTGACGCTACCTTCTGTTTTGTAAAGAAATACCAAGGTAAGTAAAAATGGTCAGATAAAATAAATCATTATTTGTAATAGTTGTTATTGATCATTGGGATCAATTTAGGCTTCTGGGAAAATGCCCACCTATCCCTCCCCTAAACCAACATTAACGCTTACTTCTCGATTATTTCAAAATGTTGGCTTAGGGGAGGGGTAGGAGGGAAGTTTCCCAGAAACCTAAATTGATGGATATGGAAGAGTTGTACTGAGTTTTAATGTATTTCCATTTACAGTCATTCCAGAAGGACTTTGCCCTATTGCACCTTCAGAACGAGAGGAATGTGGATATTTTGGGATTAAAAAGCTCGAGTGTTTGGGAAGGTCTTGTTGTTGGGACGAATCAGTGAAAAACACTAAATGGTGTTTCAAACAACCAAGTAAGCAATAAATTGCATTGTATACAAAGAAAAAAGCGGAAAAATACATACTACTAAGAGAAGAATGAGAAGAAGGTGAAGGAGTGCATAGGAGTGAGGAGAAGGAGGAGGAGGAGAAAAAATAGGAAAAGAAAGAGGAAAAGTAGGAGAAGGAGAAGTAAGAAAGGGGAGGAGAAAGATAGAACGAGAGAATTAACGCGATGAAGGAGGGGTGGAAGATGGAGGGGAGGAATCCCGGTTGGGAGTAGGGGTGCACTCCCATGAACTTTGGATAGGAATGTGCTGCCCTGGGTGTGACCCTTAGTACGGATGAGACAAACGAAAACTGACCTTTATTTAAATTCCAAACCTGAAAATGAGACCCAATTCAAGGGTAAATTATCCCTTTAAACCGTAACATCATAATTCAAATTCTCATTTGTTATCCCTATACGTTTTCAATAGAAGAAGGGGGGAGAATTTGTTGAAGTATCAATTAGAATCATTTTGTGTGATCATGTCCTTAATTCTCATGACCACTCTGTTTTATAAAGCAGTGATATTACATGGAGAAATTTGACGCTGATCACTCTTAGGGCTTAAAGGGTTAAAGACTAAGAATTTAATGGAAAGAAGATAAAGTTCAGATTCAACAGATGATTTATTTCTCGTGTAGCTGGACATTTTCGTACCCTGTCTAAAGATCACACCAGGAACACAAAGCCAACAAGGGCAAAAATGATACTCTAATTAAGGATGGAGACCATCAAGAACCGTGTCCTATAGGCCGACACATACCTAAATTTGAAGGCAAGGCTGATCGGACAGATAAGGGTTGATAATTTACAAATTTCAGTTTTCGGACAAAACTAGTCTTCATTAGGGGTTAAAAAAGCTAAGATATCCATCCAATATATGGGAGTACCCCCGGGGGTGCATAGAGGTGGGGGATGAGGAGGAAAAAGGAGAAGGATGAAGAAAAGGAGAAGAGAAAGGGGAGGAAGAGAGGGGCAAAGGATGACGGGAAAGGATGAGGAGCTTGGAGAAAGAGAAAAAAAGAAGGAGCAGGAGCAGGAGGAGGAGGAGGGTAGCTTGTCTTCAAGTTCTCACATTTGTATTCTTATTTGTATAATCCCAATTTCTCTAAATTTCTCATAATTTAGACCAAACCCTACTTCCCCTTGCCGTTGCAAACAGTTGCATTGCAATTTTTACCCCGATTTTGCAAACCTAAACCTAGACTAATTTGCTTTCCCCAAGGCGGTCCCTTTTTTTCTCCAATTTTGACCAGTAAGTGAATAACCATTGACACCACTCCTGGAAAAAGCGCCTTAAAATTAAGAAGCTAACTAAGTCTAAAGGTGATACCTCCAAAGGCAGTGAAGATAAAGCCCCGCAAAGTCGCATGATTTTACAGACACTTGTATGGTGGGGAAAACGAACTTGTTTCCCCGGCCCCACGACCACCACCATTAACACCATACCAACGTCTGTAAAATTCCGCGACTTGGCGGAGTTATATCTTTGCTAGTTTCAACAAATACATTTCACACCTAGCAACTTTATGTTATTCTTCCCTAACTTTTTTTCTCTGAAGTAAGTAGAAAAAGGTTAAAGTTACCGAGCCCTGTTACAGTGGTATAGAGCCACCCTGTCATGCGCTAACTATAGCATTTATTAAGATGTGGAATTCTATTACTTAATAATAACTATAAAAAAATTGTCAAATCTGATTGGCTATCAACTTCCCTGATTTCAGCCTTAATTGGACAGTTTAATAGAACAGTACGCGTCATGCCTAAGTAATTGGACAGTACGCCCCATCACGCGCGCGCTTAAATGGCTTTTTTTTTTTTTGCACTGTTAGCAAAACAAATTTCGAATTTCTTGTGTTTTGATTTAAAAAATAGCCTGTTATATCACAAATTTTGTTAAAGTTATGATTAATTGGTAACAGAACTTCCTGTCGTCCAATTGGACTCCACTCAGTCCTGTTACCATTGCTAATTAACTCACAAAAAGATGAAGTGATCTTGCGTCATTTCAATCAATTTGCTAGAAACGTGGAGGCAGTCACCTCTACAATTTTCCTTTACGCTTCAATTCTTTACCAATTTTTTCCCACGGTCCAATACTGTTTACTAATTGATTCACTAAACGAAACTAACCAATCAGATAACTGGGAGCGAGCAGTGAATTTCAGCCAATTAGGACCATTGAGATGATGATGCTTAAGCCGCCGATTAAAGTTAAAGTTGCCTTTTCGTGGCATGAATCTCAATGCGGTGAATGAGATAATGGTGATGGATGGTATATATCTGTGGTCAGTTTATATAAACTGGCTTAAAACGTTTGTGGCCTGATCTTCATTTCTGCTCTTTTTGCCGAGTACTTGTATCCTTTCCACGCGAACCAGTTGACACCGTCTGCGTATGACGAGTGTTGTCCGTGAAGGTACAAGCCGTTCAGATTGGAACTGTGACAACTGCCATACCACCAGCCACCTTTATGGCTAACAGCACAGTTCACAGTTTTATGTCTGTCATTGTCCTGATCTTGGGTTGTAAATGGTAAACCGCGGTGAGCCGATAGAGAATCTCCAGCAGTTCCTTCCAGCAAAATCAGATAATGAGTTTCTTATCAAACATTTAATCGTTATTCAGTATGTTATATTTATCATTTAATTCATATTTAATGGTTATTAATTAAGCAATAGAAAACGTTTTCCGTGTTTGCAAACAAACACACACAGGAAAAAAGTTTTCTATTGCTTTTATAAAATAAATTTCCCGAGGAAAAACGCAAAACTCTTTGTAGGGCAATGATTAAAAGAGAAAAGCAAAGTCTTGTCCACGAAGTCTTGCACGCGTAATCAGTTCTTGTTTTGCAAAAAGAATGCTTTCCAAAATACGGACTTTTCTCGCTTAAAATGTCAGCTTCAGCGAAAAAAAATTGACACTTTTTTTGTAACGATTTCCCAAGTTTCAGCCGACGAACGAATGGATAAATAAAGTAAATTTGTCGAGTTGTGAACTTGAAAACTTTTTCAAGTTCGTGCTTGCGTGATTAGCGCGCGAAAAGCAAAACATCTTGACGCCACAACCATGTTTACATACTCTCATGCAAACACGCCTCTCAGCCAATCAGAGCGTGCGTACTATCTTAGTTATTTTATAACTATTATTATTCATTCAAAACATTTTCCCGATTCTGATTGGCTAAAAGCACTCGCATAATTCACGATAAGCAGTTGCTGATGACCAAATTTGGAAGAATTTTGTGTTTAGCGAGGGAATGACGTCAAAAATGCAGCGTTTTTGCAGGTTAATGCACCGTAAACCGGGAAGACCTGGTGACGAGGTTGAGTTGTTTTGGTTGTGGAAACAAAAATGGCGGACAATTCACTCGTTTCAAGAGTAAGAACTAGGCAAGATAATAGCTAAAAACATGGCAAACACAGCAAGAAGACAACTCGAAGGGCGCCATCTGCTATTTGGAGAATATTTGCGGAGCTGAACAACCCTAAACATGCACTATCGAAGATGAACTTGACATCGGTGGATCGATGGAAGTAAGCATGTTTTAGCTATGTTTTTAAACTAGGAATTATTTTGAATGAATAATAAAACAATTGTTGAATTCGGCCTTCGTATCATATGAAGAATTATGGAGATCTCGGAGGGTATTATCCGCCTTGGCCGACGGCCTCGACGGATAACAGCCTCCTCGATCTCCATAATTCTTTATAAGATGCTCAGCCTCATTCATTAATTGTTAAATGATTTTATCAGTTCATGGTCTTATGAAAAAGGGTAATTTCTCATGCAATTATAAAGGTTACCGTAGTTTTTATTTCCTGCAGTAATGGTCAACTTGATAGCCATTAGCTTTGACAGCTTTCGGCGCACATTCATCTGTTTTTTAAAATTGTCTATTGCTTTTTCTTCAACCCTTTAAGCCACAGTAGTGACCAGCATCCAATTTCTCCCAACACTCCCTGATCAAACAGACAGGTCATGAGAATTAATGAAATAATCGCCAAAGATGAAATGTTGTGATGTTAGAGAAAATTCTCTCAAGCAGTGCCATAAGGAATGTATAAAGAACAGTGTGGAGAAGATGCGTGTTAATGTTGGGGCTTAAAGGATTAATTATTATGTAGGCCTCATTCACTTAAAATTACAAATTGTTCCTTTTCGCCATGATGCTTGTTCGTTTCTAATAATTTTGACACTTTTCCCTTTTTTCTGCTCGTCGTTTTTGCGCGCCATTACTCACTTCGAAAACGAAAATTGAAGCTTTCCCTACCAGCCCCTCTTTTGAATGCTGTTCCGCTGTTCATTAGCCACCTGCAGCAAACAATAAAGCACTAAACCCAACTTTAAGTGGAGGGGTGGGGGAAAGGGGTCAGGTTGTTTTGCTCTCCGAAATATGCCCCCATTTAACCACACTGGCTCAACACTGTTGTCACCGATTGTAGGCAGAAAGGAACATTTAACCTCAAAATTAGACTTACCTGAGTACGTTCCAAGACTTAGCTTATACTTAGTCCTCTCACTGGTAACTGCAAACATATCGTATTCAGCTTAGACAGCTTTGCCTGTAGTATCTTCCAGTTCTACTCGAAGTCTGTTTCCTGTTTTCGTCAACCTGTTTATCTTCTCTAGTCCCAGCCAAAACTCACCTTTCAAGTTACCGAAGCCAACTTTGTAGTCTGTCCAACCGCGATAGAAATCAACCGAGCCATCAAGTCGCTTTTGGAACACAATCCACCCGCCGCCAGCTGTTGTTTGGTCACAAAATACATCAAACGGACCTGTACCATCGGGGTCAATTGTGTAAACACCGTTTGCACGTTCACCAGATTTTTACAGTTCAGCGCAGTTTTTGTGGTGATGAAAACCTGCCAAATCTCATTTCAAAGATCCTGTTACACGATGAAACGTTAAGTGGGGCCAGTACAGCTAAACAAATTCCTGAATGCCAAATTCCTGTTCTTGAACAGTCGAAAAGACTTGTTTTACTGTGCGAAACAATACAATTTCGTAAATTTCGTATAAACCGAATAACCTGAATATCCACGAGCAACTGTCTCTACACTGTACTGACCTCCATATATTAATTACTTCCTTTAATGGAATGAGTTAAGACAATTTGTTAAGAGATACAACAGTTTTGCATTTGTTAAATTCTTATACCGTTTCTCTCGATTATGTATTGTTAGGAGAAACTCGATGTTAGCTATTCACAAGCTAACACACTAGGAACCTTCGCCAGTACCCGGTTAAAAGAAGATTTCGCTAAATGCAGAAGAGTTCGATTCAGGAACCACATACAAAGTGCCCGCTCATAATGAGTCCGCTTTGGATACAGGTTTCCCTTTAGGTACTCTGTGCTGCGTTTGCCAATCAGAATACAGGACTAACTGAACAGGACTACCATTCCAACCTGGTTTTTAAGTTACACGGTCCATGCAAGGCTTGTTAATTAATGCCATCGTACTCATTTTTCAATTAAATCTCTACTCTCTTACCGGGCAGCTCTTCCCTTTCTGCCGCTCACGCTTTCACCAAAAGACTTGAAAAAGAAAGTGGCATGACTAACAGCACTAACCTTTTCCTTTGTTTTCTTTCTGTGTTAAACTTTTTAGCTTGTTTTGAATGTCGTCTAGTTTTCTATTCATCTCGATGATCATATCCTCAACCTTTTTATTTGGACCTGCAGCGTACAAGTTGTTGTTGATGTTACATTCAATCGCTTTGGAATCCAACTGCTTTTGTTTCTGTGGTGTCACTGTTTCCATCACATGCGGCATCAAAACGATTGAAAGGATTAACGTTAAAAGCATCATTTCTGTAAAACATTTGGCTTCTCAAACAGATGGAATAAAATAAGCGGAGTAATGAAGATCTACAGATTTTGTAACTTAAAAATGCTGAGATAATTGCTAAATAAGGGAGATTATGGCATTTACCTTGACCCAAACGTAATCTTCAGTCACGTTTTTAATTCAGGATCCGTGCAAAGAATCACTATTAATGAGACCGTCAGGGGCACACCAAACGTCCGTTTCCCAATACATCAGAAGTGCCTCAAATGGTTTTCTCTATGCCTTAGACACCTGTTTGGTTAATTTGTAGCTGCTCATCCGAAAGTTTCAGCTTTCTTGATCGATCTGGTCGAAAGTTCGGGACTCAGTGTAAAGGAACTAGTTTTATATTCATACCAAAATTTTAGGGAACCCTTTTTTTAAACGATAATTGCAATATCTTGGAAATAAAACATCCGGAAAAAAAAGCCGACCCCGTAAAAGATCAATCGCAGGTAAGTTGAAAGAAAAGCTCGACGAGTACCAACTGCACCAGGAAATGAAGTCACGCATTCTCAGGACCAAACATTGTAGACAGTTTGGAAGAAGCCGCTAAAATAAGTCGCGGAATTCGGAATGTAGGCCACTCTCGCGTATCTTCATCTCCAGCGGATGCCTACAAGTTCCTCTGGGATAGAAAAAACAGTGGCTGTGACGTATACCTGAAAACTGCAATCTATTACATAACATAACATAAAACTTTATTTATACTCGAAATTTTAGAGTAGCTAACAAGCTAATATCTTCGAGCTGACACTACATAAAAACTATATAGAAAATATATATATACATTAAATGCAAGGAAAGAAAATATTATTTACAATTCACAATTTTACGTTTAAGTATGTCAGGCAAAAAGAATCTACATGAAGGTAACATCCTGTATTTTAGTCTTAAAGTCTGCAAAAAAAAACTGGTACGAAAAAAAGTCCGGCAGTGCATTCCACTGCTTAGCTGAAAAAGTAAGAAAAGGAGTTAATACCATAGGTAGTTGTTTTAGGTTTACTTAGTGAATGAATGTAGTTGCCACGAAGATCATAGGAAGAGGACCGCAGTGAAAACATATTCTTCATATAAGTAGGAAAATGAGTTAAAAACAAACTCTTATATAACAGAATGAGGAAATTTTGAATGCGTTTGTTAAACAAAGAAGTAGAGCTCACTTTTGAGAGAAGAGTGTTGTATGGAGACGAGTAATCTCCAAGTATAAATCTAAGTATTCTTTTATTTAAAGCTTCAAGCTTATCCGCATCGCGCGCTCCACAAAAGTGCCAGACAGAGGAGCAATAATAAAAGTGAGGTAAAATGTACGCTTTGTAAAGTTTGAATAGATTTCCTTGCGTATGAGTTTTCTAAAGCGCAACATAACATTAAATTGATTATTAATCTTTTTGCATACATTTGATATATGTTTAGAAAAATTCAAAATTCTATTGAAGATGCTTCTATATCAGCTGAAGTTCCTATGTTCGGTGGCAAAAGTCAGAGATTGCCCTCATTCACAGTTAGTCAATTATGTCTGTATCGTCACGGATAGCATCATATAGGATCAATTATGAAGGTTGATAACTTTAGCACGAAGTCTAGTCTACTGTCCTTTAAACAAAGAGTGGTACTGACAGTAATGTGCAAACTAAAAAGGATAGAAGTTGTCAGGTTTAAAATAGGCTTTTTGAATCGACTTCTTAGTTCGTAGGGTTGCGTCAGGTTTGATTTTAAATGGCCACTGTCGGCCGCCGTAGTCTATGGAATGAGAGATTCCGGAAATTGACATTTGTGGTTTTTACAATTCTCGGAAAAGATGGTTCATTAACATGTCATCGGCGACCAACCGGAGGTGAGATGCAGAAATTATTTTTGGGCTTGCCTTGAGCGACGATCGTTACTATTATTTTTATGGACAAGAGAAACATTTTTTACATAGCACAGTAAAAGTTCCTTAAAACCTTTTTCTGGAAAAAATCTCAAACAGAACTGTTGAATCGACGTGCATGGAGTAAACCACATCCCCCTCCCATAGGAAAAGGTATTAGTCATGTTGCTATTAACATTCATATTATTCTAGCTTATTCTGTAAATGAATTATATCAATACGAATTCAGAATGGCTTCAGATGGGGCTAAGAAACTTGTAAAATATATGCAAGAATCAGGTATTTGCTCAAATCCTTCTTTATTTGGCACGCTGGAGAAAGATTTTCAGGGCTTTTTGACAAATGCAAAGCCGGTTCTATCCGAATTTGAACACCGTGACTACAAACTGGAACAACATGACACAACATACAAATTGCGCTACAAATTGGTTAAATGTTTTATAGAAAAAAAGAAGTCAGAGGGCTTACGCCTTACATCTGTTTCTCAGTCCAAAGAGTTCTTTGTTGAACTCAAACAATTTGCAGATGACTCGGAGAGTGAAGAAGATCTTTCTGATTTGGACCTTGATCAAAGAAGACAACACAGAGTACGAGGTGTTGTGGTATGGAAATCTAATAAGAAAGCTAAGGCGTGCGTAAAGGAAGATCACAGAAGACAAGGGGATACCGGCAGTTTTTCGCTGTCTGAACTCAGTGTTAACTTTCTCAACGAAAATGATACTGATCATGAAGGATTTCATCTTCAGCTGGCTGTGGGAGATATTGTGGAAGTAACAAAGTGTAGCAGGAAGGATGGAATCGCACTAGAACAGGATATAGAGAAGTAGGTAATACTAAATTGATCAATTTTCAATCAGGCAGGGCTATATAGCCAGAAGTCCTCTCACAAAAGACGAAATATTAATTTTTTGTAAGTGATTGATGAGGGTTGATATTGCACAGGGTTCTGCTCCTGCAATCGCCGAATATTTGAAAACACAAGGAGATGCAATTTTTTAATAACAATTATTATTTACTTATTCACTTTCATTTCAACCACATAGCGCAGAGTTATGTTTGATCTTGATTACATGTAAATTTACAGTGCGATTATTGCCCTTGTTTACTGAAAATGAACGATGTCGAGACATCATGCAGTCGGTGAATTGGTAATTATCATTAGGCTGATTTAGCAACAGAACGGGAAAGTCAGTTGACGACGGCACGCGCACTGTGATCAAACAACTGGCTTGACCAATGGCAGAGTGGAAAATTGGGCACAGGAAGTCGCGTTTAGTCCTCTCCGCGCGCTTTCCAGTCGTCAACAGACGTTTCCGTTCTGTTGTTAAATCAGCCCATTAGTGCTACCGTGAATCGCATACAGTACTGAGCGCGGACGAATCACCAGTTATTTGTAAGCTGGAGATGTTTGGTTTGACAGTGCTAACCTTCTGCTTTGAAATATTGTTGCCATAAAAGGAGTACTTTTTGAATTTTTGTGAGAGTAACCGCTACCACTTCCGCTATTGTAGCTGCAGTCCAATAAGCGTTTATTTTTACTCCTTCCATTTCTTTTCAAACGTGTTGCTTAAGTGATACTAAAATTGAGTCATTTCTGAGACATTTATCAAACTCTGCAAAAAACAATGGTTCATCTGCAACTGCGATTGAAATTACAAGGTATCTATAATATTTATGCATAATTATAATTATTGCATTAGCATTTTAACATACTCATACGTAGGAGGCCTGAAACGAGTGAAAACGGTCTTCTCAGTGGATTGTATCCCTCGTGACGTTTTCATTTTTTATACTCAAACGTGACTTTGGTGCATGTACAACATGTGCAGGAGCAGTGCAGGACGAAGAAAGTACGTGCAATAGACCCCTTTAGCTTGCATTTTTTGTATTTGGAAAACTGTTGCTTAACTAAAATTTTGCGTTATGAAAACGTTATGAAAAGAAAAGAGGCGCATCCCCTTAACCCTTCAAGCTCCATTATCCACGAACAAATTCTCCGAACTGATCTCTATACATTTCCTTACAGGATTAGTTGAGAGAATTTTCCCTTAGGTGGTCATTTTATTTATTCTCATAAACGTTTTTTTAAATTACATATTGAAATTGTTAGAAGAAAATTGCTGTTGGTCACTCTTGGGACTTTAAAAAGGGTTAAGAACATCATGACCTTTATTTGCAAAAGAAAAAATGAGAGGAGCTAATAACTCAATCAACATTTTCAGTAAACAGGGAAAAAGATCTAAAATTGACTAGTGATTGAAAATGCAGTTGCTGAATGTAATTGCAAATTACAACCCACTGGCACACATTGATCCCCACAATATGGCCGCCGAAATCACGCAATAAGCAGCTTCCGTGGTCCTAATAGACCCCAGATAATTACGCATAAGTCATTATACACTTTCATCAAATTACTCGAAAAGACTCTGAACCCTCCTTTTGCCAGATAAACACGACTGCTCAGTGTAAACGTTACTCTACACGTAGGTTTTACTACTGCCGTTCGCTGGCAGTTTGAAAAGAAAAACAATAATTGAAAGTCCGCTTTCAAATCAATTTTCCCTTTGGCTAGGACAAAATTTACCTCGTTGTCTTGTTCAACACAAAGTCATGGAGGCGATCTCCCGTTTTGCTTTTTATTAAATCTGGCCCATAAATCACAAAAAGTAAGATATTTATTTTCTACATTTGTTTGTTTGTTTTTTTTTCTCAGTATTTTATCTTTACTGATACTTCACATCCTTATGAGTTACACTTGGGTGTTCTTTCAAGTAGATAGATGTCACTTTTGTATCTGTGTTTACTGCTTTGAATGAATTTGTTTTTCAGGTTTTCTACATTCTGGGAATACATCCTTAATCTTTCCAAGGACAAATTAACAAATGAAATCATCCTTCAGATTTTAGAAATCATCAGCAAGGTTTGTTCTGTTGTACCAATGTCACCTACTGTCATTGCCATAGTTCAAGGATTTCAGCAGAGCATGTTGTTCAGATCGGTGCTTCCCAATTTCATCAATGAATTGACTGTTGAGGATGTAAAAAGTCATATCAGGTAATTGTAGTTGTGAATGTAATAGGTAATGTACGTTCTCAGGTTAACACTGTATTTAACTATAAGGGTTACCTTAACCTGATTCTTAAGCCGGTGACATACGCCTAAACACTAATTTGTTGATCAAGTGTAACATGCCTTCTTGAAGCACGTTTAAATACGCCATTCAACATATTTAACAAAAATGTTCAACAAATTCCAGCACACAGACAACTGGCACCCCAAACACAAAGGGGAACCTACAAAATACAGTTCTTTATACTTTATCTAACAGCTAATGTTAACCGGATGTAGTTTGTGAACTCGGTTTGGCAAGAGTGCTGTTAAATACCTTACTGACAGAGGCTAATAGGATAACGACGATGACTGTGCGATAACTGTTGTCACTTCGGCTTTAGGCTAAGCTAGGCTAGCATGTTGCCGTGGATGAAAATGTGTCCAATATGTTAACATTACAATAATTTCTTGCCTTTTCGAAAGAGAGTGCCGTTACGAAATTGTGGGCTTTTCCCTCTGTGCTGTGGACGAGAACTGTACTAGACTGAAGCGGCATGACTTGTGATAAACTTGGAGGGCTGACACAAATGCTTTTAACTGCTTTCTTAGATGGAATTGGGGTGGAAGTCACCCAACCCCGGACCAAATACTAGAACTGTATTCCTGGCAATCTCCCAAACCAGTTATCAGCCCCCTGATTCAAGGCATCCACTGTTTTAGTAGTAGCAAAAGAGGAGTAGACATAAGCGCTTGTTGACCAACAACGCCCTCTTGAGAGACGTTGGAAATTATAAAAAAAATATAAGCCAGTCATAATTCTCACTGTTATACAGGATGTCAGGCAATGGTCATGGTGTTTACTATTCTTCTGTGTATTTTTTTGTTTATATATCACAGCATACTTCAGAAGATTCTGGAGCATGTTATTACCGCTGTCCCTGCATCTGGTCTGCAAGTATTGCAAATGGCAACAGATCTTGCTCATAATCTAGTTATGGGCTCTAATGAGCTTGAAGCAAAGGAGAGCGGACTCTCAGCCATAGAGTTCCTTTCAAAACTGTGTTCAATCATTGCATCAAAGGTACTTAGGTCTATCCCGTGAGTTATTTGATGAAATTCCGCTCGTGTTAAATTGTGTGAAGGTATGTTATGCGTAGTTGTTCAGACGCTAAAACATTTTATTGTGTGATTTTTACCTTGTGTTGAAAAATAATACTAATTCAAATAAAAAGTATGTCGTTTGAGCATTTTAGTTTATTTTGAGCCAGGCGTAAAACGTTTCTTCTCTGCTTGATTGATTAGGCCTTATATAGATGCTTGTATTTCCTTATTTTTTAGGAAGATTGTCTACAAGTTTATCTAGTATGCCCTCCAGCGGGAACGTTTTACATGCAGCCATTAGTTCAGGTAAAATCGTCGTAGCAATAAAATTTGTCAGTTCTGTACTGTCGTAAATAAGTAACATAGCCTGCATATCCACGGCTGATACTATTTAATTTTTATTATTTATTCCTTGAGGACATAGGATAACGATCGAGTTACGAGTCTGAGTTGAGTTAACTTGCGATCAGGTTTTTTTATATAGATGCTTGTATTTCCTTATTTTTTAGGAAGATGGTCTACAAGTTTATCAAGTATGCCCTCCAGCGGGAACGTTTTACATGCAGCCATTAGTTCAGGTAAAATCGTCGTAGTAATAAAATTTGTCAGTTCTGTACTGTAGTAAATAAGTAACATAGCTTGCATATCCAGGGCTGATACTATTTAATTTTTATTATTTATTCCATGAGGACATAGGATAACGATCTAGTTACGAGTCTGAGTTGAGTTAACTTGCGATCAGGGTTTTTCGTCTGATCGCAGGTTAGAGTTGCGTTTGAGCTGTGATGAGTTAGGTTTGAGTTACCGTTTTGGGCGTTATTTTTAAAACTCTGTGAATGCAAATGATGGCAAATATCATCGGGCGTTACAAATATCAAGTGCGTAAATTCAATTATTTTTATATCTTACAAAAGGGAAAGGGTGTACACAGCCTTTCCCCATCTTTGCCTTCATCAAAAAATCCCGCCGATAATCTTTGCCATCATTTGCATTCACAGAGTTTAAAAGTTAGAAAAACTAGATTAAAAGATAAAAGTGAAAAAGTCTTCAGCGAGCTTCGTTCTACAGTTAGTAACGTTTTTATAGAAGTACAGCTGGCCTGATTTTGTGCCTTAGGGTGTAGGGGCAGGTATCGTCTAGGCGCAGTGTTGGTAGAAGAGGATGAAGAGGGTGTTAAGTCCTTAATTTTGCACATATACTCCTCACATATCTTATCTCTCCTGCACGCTGGGGTTTCCACCCGTGTTAACTCGAGGGCATCTGAGTAGCCATCAGCACACGGAAAAATTATCTTAAGAGCCAATGCACAGAAAAATCGAGCAAACCGTGGCCACAGCTCAAAACCTAACCTACCCTCATTTTAAGTCTGTAATAAGGTTTTAATGAATTTATAACACTGCTGAGGTTTACTTTTCAAAATGCGGCCGAATTTGGGAATTATTTGAGATTTTCGATTTCAACGGTCTGCGGGCCTAAAATTAGCCCCCGAACACGGCAATATAGCCTAGCGACAGAAATGAGCTGACTTTCATAAACGAGCGAATATATCGCCAATCTTCCACTTAAATCTCAAAAAGCAGATATCTACCAATTTCTGAATGGCTTATTTTTTAGATTTAGAGTATAAAATATCGACGAACCAGCAGAATTTTGAAACGTAATTTGCATAATGCTTATAAATACAACAATTTACCGCTAAAACCAAAATCGAATTTTCTATATGGGGGAATTCTCCAAATCACCCCAAATCCCGCTTACTGCCTAATGAGATACAGTACTTCAACATTATCTGAAAGTTAGTCTGGTGTTCTTACGAACGCTTGTAAAATAGATTGATTATTTTGAAGTTGTTTTGCCCCAAACAACTGCTAATTGACCCCAGGGTCAATTGACACGTGCACGTCACCTTAGTTTTATGCATCGATTTGAGCTCGTTAAAAGGGAGAAACTAACAAGATTCTTTTAATATGTACCTGTTTTAATGAAATACACGCAATCTTCAAAAGGAGAGGCCGTTCAATGGGTAATTTCTGTTCTTGAGATCTTGTAGATTGTACCATGGCGTCTGCGAGTGGACCTGAGTCTAGGTCTGTTTTCCCGTGACTGCGAAATCAGAATAACATCATGAAATAATTCTCTCTCGAACCTTCGTAAATGAATCAGCTTTGCAGTGCCTTACCTGAGATAAAAAGTGGGCAGAATAGGAAAACATTCTAGCGCAATTTGGATCCTTTGCAGCACGCAGTGTATTTGCTAAGCGGGTACGGTATCAGTTACTCACCTCCGATTGCGTGACCACGCAATTATAGATTGTCTCCAGCGAAAAATAAGTGCATGTGAAACCAAAGCTTTCGGGATACAGTAAATTCATTTTCCTGTATGACCAGGTGTACTTTTGTCCTATTTTAAAAGCGGTTAACTAAGATGATTAGCAAACATACTGTCCTACTTTTAAAAATGGTACAGTAACTGAATGTTCTGTTCTTCTGATTTTACCCCTAACCCCGGAGTGTTCAGAAGATATATTTGCACTACGCATGAAAGGCAAATGGATTAAATTTTTAGGTTCAAGCCGGTTTTCAGGCATGGGTTACCAGTGGATAAGTCAGACTGGTCATAAGGTACATTGAACAGAAAATTACAGGCATGATATCTCTGCTATTGTATGTCCATTAAGTGATTTTCCATCAAACATTATTTTTTTACTTTTTTACCCCAAAAGTTTTTTTCGTTCAATTCTTATCTATGAGATGTAAACTTAGTCAAATTTCTGTAATTTGTTGTTAAATGCAAATCTGCAAACAACTAAGTATTTAATTTTGCGTAAAAGCTACATGAAATTGTACTGTTTAGCCGTAAATCATTAAAAAGAGAAAGCATCATGCTTTCTCTTTTCAAGTCTAGTAGGACTTAAGCAATGGCATTGCGTAAGTCCTAGTAGTTCTTCTCCATGTCTGCTAAGGGGGAAATAGTTTGCTCTTTTCAAGAAATTGTTCTTGCCCATTGCGGTTTCAAACCAAGGATAGCAGCAAGTCTGGCGTGGTCATATACTGCTACTTCAGTGCAAACGAAGCATAGGCGCACAAGTCAGCGCTTGCGTTTAGTCAGGTGCCGAAAATGAAGTGGAAACTTAACCTTAAGGGCGTCCATGTTCGCTCCGGCTCGAAAAGGTAGAATCAGTTGTGCAGTAAAAAGTAATGCGAAAAACCTGCGGGGGCTGGGGAAAGAAAGGCGTCTTATTTTTCTTTGGCTTGTTCTATTTTCGCGACGTGCTACAAGTTACGAAATACTTACAAGCTCAGTATATGTCTTCACCACCGAGAGTCACTTGCCCTTAGCCAGATAAAGTTATTTCGAAGCACAGAACCAAACCTAATCAGCGGCCGAAGGCAGAAAGGGGGATGAGCAAACGGATGTCACAGCATATTTTGCAAGAAACCGGTATCCTTGTGCCTATCGGCTCAGGAACGATTGATTACTACTAGAATTAATATCAGGGTCAGAATTTGAGTGCTACAATGGGAGGGTAGGAAGAAAAGAAAACCGCCGCGCGCACCCGTTAAGTCTTTTATAAACTTTCTCGTCCTGACGGTCTCAAAGAAGGGCGTTGTGGCTGCTATTTAATTTACAGTGTCTGTTGCAGGAGTCGAATTAATCCTACAGCAACTGGAAACGTGGCCACGCCTGCTGAAACTGAGATTGCTTGTAGGATATTCGGCTATAGTTTGGTATATTCACGAGCGCGTTTTGTCCAGTGAACTGAGCGCGTAGTTTTTCTTAACGAAGGGATGGGGTGGGTCAAGTGAATAGTTCGGGGAACGTTTGCTCTCTTTAGGGGGCGGGGGGTATATTTGTTGATATCAGGAGTTCTGGCCTCGATAGAGTCGTTGTAAAGCTATTTTTGCTTCGGGGTATCGGTTTACCGGAAGCTGAGCAAGGAAAATTCAATGGTACATTTATGGAATAATAATAGAGATTCTCATGGTCTAACAGTGCGAAGATTAGACTTCTGGTAAGGTGGCAACGATCAAAGCCCGCTTTATAATTCATGATAATTGAAGGTGATGATGTGGAAAAAGCGACTGAAATGGTGGATGCCATGCAATCCTCTCGGGTGGGGGCGGCGCACCTGGCCTTAACGGTTGCCCCTTCGACATAAGGCAAGCATGCCCAGATTGTCCACGGGTTGCTAAATGAGACCGTCCCTTTCTTAGTACCCGTTCCCTGTCTTTTTATTAGACCCGGGCAAATTTCTCGAGATTGCACCATCATTTTGGGCTTTTAAGCTTCCAAAGTCCAACAATAATAGCGCATGTTCGCGACGGTTTTTTAAGTCAGTCAAGTTCTTAAACCAGGCCTTAAACGGCCAGTTTTAAGTGTCGATAACAGTTAAAAAGGCATACAAGCCCCATGCAAAAGACAGTGGGAAGGAAGTGCACATCGGTGATGGGGAAAAAGGACTAGCCCACAGTTATTGAGGGGTGGATCTTTCGAAACATTCTTATACTCTTGGACAGATATGCATTGTTTAAAGTTTTAGACAAACCAGGTGTAAATTTGTAGTAACAAACTGTTAAATATACATCAGCAAAATTTTTGCGTATCCTATTTATCGCTGGAGACTATCGTTTACTGGCTGGTCACGCAATCAAAGGTAACGTACTTTCCCACGTTTGTTTACTGACCTTTCGCTCGGCAATACACTGCGTTCCACAAAGGATCCAAATTGCGCTAGAAATGTTTTGCTATTTGGCCCACGTTTTATCTCAGGTAAGGCACTGCAAAGCTGATTCACTTACGAAGATTCGAGAGAGAATTATTTCTTGATGTTATTCTGATTTCGCAGTCACGGGAAAACAGACCCAGACTCAGGTCCACTCGCAGACGCCATGCTGCAATCTTCAAGATCTCAAGAACAGAAATTACCCATTGAACGGCCTCTCCTTTGAAGATTGCGTGTATTTCATTAAAACAGGTACATATTAAAAGAATCTTGTTAGTTTCTCCCTTTTAACGAGCTCAAATCGATACATAAAACTAAGGTGACGTGCACGTGTCAATTGACCCTGGGGTCAATTAGCAGTTGTTTGGGGCAAAATAACTTCAAAATAATCAATCTATTTTACAAGCGTTCGCAAGAACACCAGACTAACTTTCAGATAATGTTGAAGTACTGTATCTCATTAGGTAGTAAGCGGGATTTGGGGTGATTTGGAGAATTCCCCCATATAGAAAATTCGATTTTGGTTTTAGCGGTAAATTGTTGTATTTATAAGCATTATGCAAATTACGTTTCAAAATTCTGCTGGTTCGTCGATATTTTATACTCTAAATCTAAAAAATAAGCCATTCAGAAATTGGTAGATATCTGCTTTTTGAGATTTAAGTGGAAGATTGGCAATATATTCGCTCGTTTATGAAAGTCAGCTCATTTCTGTCGCTAGGCTATATTGCCGTGTTCGGCGGCTAATTTTAGGCCCGCAGACCGTTGAAATCGAAAATCTCAAATAATTCCCAAACTCGAACGCATTTTGAAAATTAAACCTCAGCAGTGTTATAAATTCATTAAAACCTTATTACAGACTGAAAATGAGAGTAAGTTAGGTTTTGAGCTGTGGCCACGATTTGCCGATTTTGCTCGATTTTTCTGTACATTCGCTCTTAAGTGCCCTTTTTTGGATTCAATTTTGAATCCATACAGAATTTATTGGATGCAGGATAAAGGGTTACAAATTGTTTACTAGTTATCTAACAGCAGGACAACAATTCGTGTTCTTTAAAAGTGTAATATCCCCGCCCCAGAAGGTCGTGATTAGAAGGGGAGTTCGCAGAGAAGCATTTTAGGCCCTCTCTATTTATCCTTTATGTGAATGATATGCAACGTGTTCTCCAAAGAGCCTCCACCTTTATGTACGCCGACGATTTAGTTATTTTTACATCCGGTCCAACTACATTGAAGATGTGCTCAATTATGAATTTGAAAACGTCCTCTAGTGGCTTCAATCCAACAAGATGATAATTCCCGGCCAAACCAGTATATGTATGCTTTTTGGAACTCACCAAAGGTTAGCTCGAGCCCCTAGTTCAACCATCAGGATTGGAAATAAGACAGTAAAGTAAGTATCCACGAACAAGTGCCTGGGGGTTCACCTCGACAGTGGTCTAACTTTCGAGGAACATGTCAATAAGATGGCAAAGTAGTTCTCATAGCAGCTGGGTGCACTCGGCAGGGTAAGACCCCACCTAACATCATCTGTATCTAATACTATCTATAAAGCCTTTATTTTCCCTTCAGCATCTGCGAGGTCGCGCTGGTGTTTTTTTGTGGCCGGCAGAGAACCAGGCTGACTTCCGGTTCAGTTCATAGTACTGGACTCATTTAGAAGATTTTCGTGGGGAAAGCATTGTTGGCTTTAGCTGCCGTTGATTTTCACGTCCCCTTCTTCGTACAAAAAAGAGGCCGAGGTACAGCCAGGCCGTACTCTGTAGTTGTGCAGGACTCAAGCTGTCGGCCGGTCCGAGTTCGCCGCTGTCGAAGAGTTTCTTCATCTGCTCTTTTAAAATTGTTTTATTGTGAACGACGCCGGCAATTTTTCCCGTCTTTCTTTCTTTCACGAACGCCGGCGTCTAACACTTCATTTGCTTGTGTAACAGCGGGATCAGCGATTATGCAGAAAGGCTTATTTTGCGGTGGAGAGCGGAGAAAGCGGTCAATGGCGTCTCTTATAGATTTCATAAGGTACCTTTGTAAAAATCACTTCTTTCTGATAGACTAAGCCCTTCAAACACGCATTTAGCTCTTCTTTGCACATTTCTTGTAATGGTTTTGAAAACTTACTCCCCCAAGGACTTGCAAGCCATTCTGAAAATTTCAAAGGTAATCTTTGTTTTTGTTGTTGTTGTTGATGTTACATCAGTACTTAGGGTCTTGACGCATAGAAGAATTATAACTTCAGTTGTAAGGAAACTTCGGAGATACTTACCATTAAATAATTTCAAACCAAAAAGTTTGTTTGTTCCGTTCAATTTCAGTCATGTTTGTTTAGTTAAGGTATCATCCACCCTTAAGCACCCTCCCCGCGTTGATCGGCGCTAGCGCTTTTGCTTTTAATAAATACCCCCATAAACCGTACATTTTCTGAAAGCTTAATAGTTCCAGATTATTGCTTATTCCTTTTAAAAAATCAAAATATTAATTCGATTCAGAAATGAAAAGCTTTTTGTGGAAGTGGGTGTCACTGTAAATTTAAGTCGAGGCCAGCCAAAAATAAAGAGAAGAAGCCAATTAAGATCACATTCGCTTCTTAACACGTTTGACTTAAAAACCGTGTCTCAGATTTTTGTCAAGTAAGTTTGTTCTTTTGTTATAAACAGTTGAAGTTAGGGATAACAAATCATTAGCACTACCTGTGAAAAAATACTCTTACTCGAAAACGAAAAAAGAAATCAAAAATTCGCAGACATGGTTTTTTAGAAAAACTATCTGACAGTAAGTTGGCCAAATTTCAGCCGAATTGGTTTGGAGTTTAAAACGTACCCTCAGCTTGCCCTGATTTTCATTTCGAGAAAACAGGGGAAAAAGTTGCCTGCGTCGCAGACACTCTAAACCTTCTATATAGAGCGTCTGCGAATTAGTGCACAAGATCGTGTCCGAATCCCGCAGAATCGCAAGGACATATGTCGGCGTTTTTGATTGGCTAGTTTCTCACGCATTTTGTGATTAGTCCGATTTGAAGTAAGTGTTGACAGGCCAAACATGACTCATAGCTCTTGACAAGAAAGATTGAGCTCGTGATAGTGTGAAACGTGACCTTAGAGTAGCTTGAACAACAGAGGTTTTTCTTGCTCTCTTTTTGCGTAATTTATACAGTGCATGGAGTATTCTACAATTTAACTGAGCAAATTTACAAGAAAATTCTGGCCTTGAAGGAATTATCTCAAAGCATTTTTTTCTTCAGAAGACGGCTTTAAAGTTGGAACTGCTCTTTTATTGTTTACTGTAAACGATCCTTGCGATCCTCTCCCTCTACAATTCGGACTTTAAAAAAAAAGTCCTTCGTCCGATTTTTATATTGCGCGGGACCTGTCGCGAATTTGTCGCTTGCTTGGCTGCTTCGCGGCCTAAAAAGCTCGCTCCGCTCGCTAAGAAACTCGTGAACCTCGATTTCGCGGAAGTTTCAATGATTTTTTCAGAAGCTTTGTCATCATTTAGCCATTTTTCTTGATTGTAGTAGGAGCCCTTGTCGCTCTCTGCTAATTTCGAAGCCCACACTTTGCAAGACAATTTTGTCGTCTTCAAGCTCTTTTTTCTTCTTTGGAGGCATTCACTTCCAAAATCCAGGGAAAAACAGTGAGCACTATACTTGTAGACCACGTTTTCTGTCAAATTGCGTGATTAGCTTGGTTCAACAGCGGCATGCGTATCAAGTATGACGGGACTTGTCAACGATCAATTAAAATAATCGGTATTATATTGCTCGTATCCTCCAAATATGGTAAGCCACAGCAAGTTATTAGGAATTAGCCTGTGGGGGATTGGAGCCAACCGGAAACAGCGAAATATTTATCTGACTTTGTGTGTTGAATTTCCACCAAAAGTGTATTATCTTCCTGGCCCCGGTTATTCAAATGTTGGATAGCAGTATCGACCGCAAAAATCACTATCCAGTGGATAAATTCTAGAGAAACCAATTTCGTTATCCACTGGATGGAGATATTACATAACGTTATCCACCTTCTCATGGACGACTGGGATCAGATCTCTAGTCATGACACCACTGGACGGGCGCACATACTTGTTGGGTATTGTTCAAGAGTACCCTGCGGGCAATATGTTGGCAATAATATGACAGAGAGTCCAAGTATGAACTAAAATGTAGTCTTTTTATTTGTGTAAGGATTTTTCCTTCAGACCATTGGAACGGTGTAGTTTTGAAAGGAGTTCAAATATTTACTTGTCAAAAGTCTTTTAAGTTACTTAATCCCGAATAAGAACCTGAATGCGTAGGGATGTTTAAGTGCATTGAGCGTTTTAGCTCAGACCGATAGAGTTTTGTTTTGCTCAATAAGCTTTCATGACTCGTCCTTTCCAGCCAGGCCAGCCTGTATTCTTCATGCAACAAATGCGACCTCTCTGGCAGCCTATGCAGCAGCTGCAGCAGATGAGAACTTCAGGAATGCAAGTTTCAGGGGATGGGCAGATTCCACGTGCAAAAGGCATCCATCAGGTGCCTCCCAGACAAATGCCTGGACAGCAGCAGCAACTGCCATGTAGACCATCGTACAAGTCTCGGCAGCCACAGCCACATCCAAGTACAGCGCCAATGCAGCAACAAGAACGTCTTCAACCGCCCATTTGCATACCAGTAAGTTAGAAAAATGTTGACACCATTCAACCAAATTCAACCGTCACTTTCTGGCCAACAAATAATTGAATGGAATATAAAAATAACCTCTTAAAGCAGTGGAGGAACATATAAATAACACAGCAAATACTAAACAAAAATGCATGAGCGGAAACACTGTCCTTTTGAGGGAATTCGTTATTTTGGGGTTCCACTGTTGTAGTACAAAAGTTTGGTCGAATCTTTTTTACTACAAGAACCATTGATTTTACGACTTTGTTGTACGTTAATTCTCAGTGAAGGTATCTGATTGCGAAGCTTTCAGTCTGTGCATTTTAGGTTCCTTCAAAAAAGTATTTCTGATTTCTTTGTTTTGATCTTGTTTTGTTTTACGAAAATTGCTCAGGTACCTGTAGAAGGTAACGCATTTCTTTTTATCTCTGCATGTCTTTACTGAAGGGACAAGAGCCACTCTACCGAAGTGTAATGGCTCCAGTCTCCCTTGCAGAGTAGAAACAAATGCTAGGTGAGCGTCTGTTCCCCTTGATTCAAGCCACCTACCCTGATCAGGCTGGTAAGATCACCGGTATGCTGCTGGAGATTGACAATTCTGAGCTGCTGCATATGCTGGAGTGCCGTGAGGCCCTGGATGCCAAAACTCAAGAAGCTGTGTCTGTTCTCAAGGCTCACAATGCCAGAATGGAGGAAGCTCAATTTGAGAATGGTGTGTAACTCTCAAGGTTCACTTTTACGGGACGAGCACGTCTGCCAAAGTTTAATTTATGATAATTTGAGCACAGATTGACGATAATTCAAAAGTGATATGACTCATTAATAAGTGTTTTTTCATTAGTTCTCAAAAGTGTGTGGGTGTGCTAGTGTGCTCCAAGCTCAACGTTTCTCTGAAGTCGCCCTTTTAATTGCATGGCGACCTAAACTTTAGCCGATGGTCGTCAGACATAACATATACATTGATGGCAAGAAAAAAAATCGCACTATATTGCACTTTTGGATGGGGGACGCGATTAAAAAAATAGAGCGTAAATAACATTTCGTGCATTAATCTCAAATGTTGTCTCACTTTAACTAAATAGAAAGACCATACACTGTACATGTCGATCATTGACACAAGTAATAAAAACATAACAGCCTGGCGCATGACCGCCAAACACAGGTGCCAAATTGGCTACTTTCACCGCAATTTTAGTCGCCAGTTGTTTTTTCCTACTCGTCTTTGCGACTAAAATGGTCGAAGCTTGAAATGCTATTTTTAGTTTTTGAAAAAGCAATACGCAAATTATGAATGGGCTGGATTACACGGATCTATGTTGCCGCCGGACAAACTCGAATTTGAGGTTTCCTTCTCCCATTTCGACTCCCTCCTTGTTCCCAGACATCCCCTGAGGCTTTGTTCTCAATTTGACCTGGGGTTTCGAAATGCACCGAGTCCCCGAATATGTCTCTTATACCCAAATTTGCGTCGGTTAGTTCCTGTTCCTATTTAGTTCAGCTCCCTTAGTAGTCGGCTTGTTGACAATCATTCATATCTTACGACTTTGAGTGGTTTAATTTTGCATATGAGTTAACAAAGAACCTGCAATAAACTGGCATTATACTGAAATACAGTAAACTTTCCATCAATACACTGTTGTGACACGAAGCTAGGTTCCTGTAGATGATACTACGAATGAAATAAATTAGCTAGACTAACCCCATTCAGACCGGCTTTTTCTAAAATTGTTTCCTACGACGGGTGGGGGAGGGGGGCTCCCCGCTCTACAATTTAGAAACCGCTCATGATCGTTACGGCCACCAAATTAGCGCAGAATAATGTACTCATCATTTTGAATACATGTAGTAATAGAAAAGAAAAATAATTAAATAGTGAGGTGTATGACAAAACAAATAAGTCGGCAAAAACATTTTTAATAATCTTTAACAGTAGCATGGATGTCATGATGACGTCATTTAATGTTAAAGAAGGAGCTGCAATGGAACCATCAGCCATCTTGGGTCCTCATTTTAAATTGATTAAATGTTTTCAATTTTCCTTGTAACCCGTATAAATCGAGGTAATCGTGATAGAAAAATTGATGTGTTTACAAAAAGGTGCTAAGGAAGCAAAAAAATCCTCAAGTTGTGAAATTCCGAGAGAATTTAACACAGTTAAAAATTGAACCCAAAGGCTGTCGTCTGGTCATTTTGAGTTCATGTTTTCTCAAATCAGTCACTAAAAAGCCTTGTTACACTAACAGTTATAATGAATTTGAGCACGCAACCATCAACTTGTTGTTGAAAAACTAACTTTACTTTTTAAGCTTTCATATCTGAATTTAGATTTCGCACTAACCCTGGGTTATCTTGACCCAGCTTTGAACAAAATGTCGTCTAGTTTTCTTTTTTTGATCATATCCTTAAGCTTTTTATTCGGACAAGCTTACAAGGTGTTGTTGTTATTACATAGAATACCCCTTTGGAATCCAACTGCCTTTGTTTTATCTGCTGTCGCTGTTTCCACCACAAGCGGTGTCAAAACGACTGAGATGGTAAAAGTTAAGGCATCATTTGTGTAGAACTAAGCGTCCAAGACAGAAGGGATTACGGAGTAACAAAGATTTGCCGATTTTGTAACTAATCCACGCCTGCATTCGATGCAGAGATTAAAATTGCTTATCAACCAGTCCAAAGGAGGATTGTGGCAATAATTTTACCTTGACCCGGCCAAGAGTAACCCATACGGGTCAAGTTTTTATTCCAGGATCCGTGCAAAGAACCACAAGAAATGAGACTTTAGGGGCACCCAAAGAACGAACGTTTCCAAATACGTCCGAAGTGGGCTCGAATGGTTATCTCTATCTATTATGTCTTAGAACAATGTTTGCTAATTTGGAGCTGCCCTAAAAAGTATTTATCTGTTTGGATGTCTTTGGGGAACTTTGGCCGTCTCGAAAGTTTTAGGTGCATGGCTTTTTCCTCTCATCTCAAACTTTAAGCTACCCTGATGGATCCTGATGGGTCCGATCGACCGTTCGAGAACATGGAGGGGACGTTTTCTCTTAAATTTATACCGAAATTTTCAGGGGACCATTTTTTTTAACAACCAAATCGCAAATTTTGGTCATAAAATATTTTCACATATTTAATATGTGAAAAACACAACCACCGAAAATCGTAGGTAACTCAATAGGAAAAGACTGTATATCTTAGCTATTTTGGCCTTTCTCGAGCTTTCATTGGAGACAGTTATTTTACAGAAGAAAGTGTTGGGTGCCCCTGGCCTTTAGCAAGTTCATTCAAAGCATAGGGGAATTCTTGCTGACGTCATTGTTTCGGGGATTTTTGCTCATTAGCATTCAAGTTAACCCATAGAAGACGTCACCTTATACAAAATTACGCAAATTAGGTTCAAAAATTGAAAGAGCTGCCGTTAATTTAAGTAGTTTGTGCAATTTTCAGCAATCAAAAACTGCGAAATTGCTGGGTAGTGAAAACGCTAATGAGCTCATACATTCTTTGTAAACTTTCGAGTTTTTCGCAGAGAATTTCTGCAAAACTGTTCGGTTTATCGGGCTCAAATTTTCAGCGATAACTTAAATTATTCTGCTCTTTCAATATGCAGACGTTTTATTTTATTAGCTTTATCACTGAGATAATATATGTTATTGAGGCAAAAAATGTAAACAAAGATTCGCCTATTCTTTTGAAAGGTAATCACCTAAATTTTTTCTCACGTGGGACCTTTGATTCAGTATGGAAGGGGATGATGGATTACCCAACAAAAAAATGCTTTTACCAGGATGTTGTTTTCCTGTGCAAACAGATTGAACTATAGGCTGATGTTATAGTTCATTCCCAAGACTGGCTTTCGCAAGTGTTACAAGGATCAATATTCAACTAGCAAAACAGATTGAAATCATTATTTTCTTTACTTATGTCAAAACAAGGAAACTAAACGTGAAAGTTATCTTCAGTATTAAAAAACCTAGTAATTAACTTCTTGAGATTGGAGCAATGGTTGAAAATCAAAAACTACAGGGTGTTTCAAAAGTTCGTACCGATTGTAAATTGTATTTTCCGCGAAGCATTTAATGCTTCTTCAGGCAAATGTAAACTGATTCAGGTACGAAATTTATCTAAATTACCGTTCAAAGCAATTTTAAACTAAAATCTGAAGAAGATATTATATTTTTTAATTTTTGGCTTAAATGTGCACGTACGCGAGTTTTTTACCACCATATTTTCCCTGCCCATTTTGTAGGGTTTCTATTTTCGTGTTTTTGCCGTTTTCTTTTGTTACGAAACTAAAGGCCTACACTGTTTGTGCTAGGGCTCAGGCATCTATTTTTACGGTATTCTGGCCATTCAGTCAAAGAAATTGCCAAATTGTTGAAGACGTCTGACCTATGAGTGAACAAGTGGCCAAAAGCCAAGACCTTAGAAGACAAACCAAGGAGTGAATGGCCGTTTTTTTTAACAAAGTGTGTGAGGAATGTTATCAAAAAAGCTGTAAGTATATACGTAATAATCCAACAAGAAAGAAAAGTAAAACTTCAGCTTCACAATATCAAAGTTTCGAGCACAACTGTATGGAGATATGTGACCAACAAAGGTTGGAAAGCCTTGAAGAGAAAAAAGGTGGTGAACACTTCTTGGTGGCATGGTATCAGAAGAATTTGTAAACTTTATACCAGAGGACGACCGGCTGGCAAACTCACGTGATGCGAATCCTCTAGAGACCATATGGATTTTGGTGAGACAGCATACAAAGATCAAGCCCCCCCCCGCAAAAAATAAAACAGTGGACGAGGTAAGACAGCGACTACGCTTCGCCTGGAAAAATGTGAATTTAGACACGCTTTGGTAGCTGGTACATTCTATACCTCACCAATTAGAGATATGTCCAGAAATGCACGCATTGCCGAAAATGGCAGAAATGGCAATTAATCGCCAAAATCGCCACACTATATAATAAACAAAAATTCAAATGAGATGGCAAAGGGGCCTTTTGGAAAGTGGCGATTATGGCGAAAATGGCGTATTTGGCGAAAATGGCAGAAATGGCGCTTAATCGCCAAACTGTAAACAAAAATTCAAATGAGATGGCAAAGGGGCCCTTTGCCAAGTGGCGATTTTGGCGAAAATGGCGTATTTGGCGAAAATGGCAGAAATGGCAATTAATCGCCAAAATCGCCAAACTATATAATAAACAAAAATTCAAATGAGATGGCAAAGGGGCCCTTTGGAAAGTGGTGATTATGGCGTATTTGGCGAAAATGGCAGAAATGGCAATTAATCGCCAAAATCGCCAAACTGTAAACAAAAATTCAAATGAGATGGCAAAGGGGCCCTTTGGAAAGTGGCGATTTCGGCAAAAATGGCGTATTTGGCGAAAATGGCAGAAATGGCAATTAATCGCCAAAATCGCCAGACTATAAACAAAAATTCAAAGGAGATGGCAAAGGGGCGAAAATGGCGAAAATGGCGTATTTGGCGAAAATGGCGGAAATGCAATT